CATTTTCTATTAATGACACAAATGAGTTGCAAATAATATGAACAGCAGCAGTACAAGAGATAAAAAACACAGAATTTCACCTATAATTATCATCTAACAAATCTCTCCAGGTGATTGCTGATTAAAGCACAACATGCAGTCTAAAGCCACCTAAAATCTAAAGAATAAAACCTGCACAAATTTCCTCTAAAATCATTACTAGATTAAAATCAATTTTAAATTAAATCACTCCAGTAACTCTAAATCCACCACCAGTACTTTAAGTATTTGGAAACATCATACCTAATTATGCCCTCCCAATTAGCCAAACACTGTCCCTTAATTTTGTTTGAACAGCATTTCATCTCCAAAAGGAACATTGGTATGTGCGTTCTAACGTGACATTCTTTTGACAAAAGTACACAAAATTTAGCATGGTTGGGAGTACACATCCTTCTGAAAAAAGTGGAGATTTATTTTGGACTATTAAATAACATATATCATATACTTCAATTTCATCAAACTTCAAAAAGGTTGGCCCTTACCTACATTTCACCAGCTGTAGCTCAAAATCACCCTTTGGATTCAACCACAAAACAGAACTGCAACACTATCCAAGGTACTAATAGCCCTCATGTCTACCAGGTCTATACAAAGACTGTTTCTCTCCCATCCTTCAAGTCATACATCAGTGTACTACCATCGATTGCGTCCTTTCTTGGCATGAAAATAAAAGTCACAGGTCCCTCAGAGATCCTTCTGTGTTCACGCAATACAAGCTGACATAAAAACTTGAGTAACAACATATAAATAACAAAATAAAAAGACATACAGACAAGGAAACAAATTATAGAAATACACAAGAGCAACATGTATTTGTATGGCACCTTCACCACAGTGAAACACCTCAATGCACTAGAGAGGTGCAAAATTTATCACGATCATATTATAAGGAAACATTACATCAGACTATCAAATTATCATTCAAAGCAGTATGTTTTAAAGAGTGCCTTGGGGAGAAAAGCAATATAACGAGGTAGAGAAGTATAGGGAGGCAGCTTCAGAGATTGAGTCCTCAGTAATCAAAGACACAGACATCAATGGTAGGGCAATTAAAACTAATATTGCTCAAGTGGCATCAA